CAAAATAAAATATACGAAAAAATGCCAAATAATCTACTAACAATGTAAAAGATTTTTTTTATGTGCAATGAAAGTATTTTCTTTAAAACATAAAAAAGAGCATTTTTATTAAAATTAAATATTAAATTATTTTGCTTTTGAACAATTAAAATGCGATAAACAGAATACGAATATAGGCAGGGCAATGCGAGCCAAATCGCTGACGGCCCGCAAAAGACCCTCTCATCAAAACAATCATGTTTCGCGGAACGGAAACTTAAAGCACTGATTGCGATCATTTTCAGTCGCATAACCCTTCCCTTAGAATAGATAGATGACAATACTTTAGCAAGTTTCTCAGTTACATTGCTTTGCATCGCTGTAGCCCAAGGTACTCTTGAAAATGATAAGGCGAATGATAATAAGTCGCAGTTGTCGCACATTACCTTTGTAAAGCATACTTTGTATAAATATTCGTTATCTCCTGATTATTAGGTCTACCGCTCGTACGACACTATAATTTATACTTATACAATCGTAGATAGGGCCGGTTCTAACGAGCGTGGAATGCGTGCCCGTACACAAGCGTAAAATTTTAAAGGCGTAACAATATTGAATAGAAAATACAAAAATAAAAATTGTTATATACATTTTATATACATTTTATATTTTATATAATATTTTATATATTATATGTTATCATCAAACCGGCAATTTTCTTTTCGTCCCGTTTTTCTACAATACATTCTTACATACACATAGGGGCGTAAAAATTGTTCCGGCTGTGATCGTAGATATTCATCCTTAACAAGCAAAAGACTCCGCGAGCTTGTTTCTTGCTATGATTTCTTGTTTATTGCAATGATACGTAATTACGCAATATAGAGACAATCCGAAAAATTTGCAAAAATATCGATACTTATTGTTAGTAATAGGCGCATTTGCTGAAAAGGAACACATTTTTTATTAAAAAAACACAATATTCTTTCACTATCAAAGTCAAGACTCTATTAAATCAAAAATTGGCTGCAAATGCATTAAAAAATAAAATCTGTTATATGTTTGCATTCCTAAACGCAGTTCAATCACTTCTTTAATCGATCATAATTAAACTATTTTTAAACATACGAAAAAATAAAATGGTCTTGTACTAAAATTCTATAACAAGTTTAATCTTGCTATCGATGAAAGACATTATCAACGAAACAATGACAAAAAATCATTGTTACTTTCTAGGATAACAGTTTATCGAATCTTGCGCCAGATACCCAATAAGATTACGATAATAGAGGCGATATCTCCTGTAAGGTCGGTATTTATTCTTCTATGATTTCTAGGTCGTCACGGTGGCCTCCAATCTAACGGTCAACTATTACGCAAATTGCCGTATCTCCAGTCACATCTTTCATTATGCGAAACGATAAAATTGAAGTATTATTACATTACATACGCAAAGCGTGGTTCATCCGAGGAGAGCACACGTGATGTTATGCTCATATGCATAGATTGAAATCACGTGATGGTTGGTAGTTTCAACAGTTTTTCGCTCTTTCACGAAATAATCGATTCATATGAGCATTCATTCATCATCAGTCTCGGCGATTAAAGACCATAATTTAAAATATGTATAACAAATCTTTTTTGTCAAGCCGTAATTGTTTGTACATTTTAAAGAAGTCTTTAAAATTATTAAAATTATATATTAAAATCATAAAATAATTAACTTTTATCGATCTTATAATGTGATCTAAAATATTGTGCGTTTTACTTTTAAAACATTAAAGAGATTATTTAATTTCGAAATCATAAGATGTGTGATAAAATTTTGTCCGGAAAATGGGTTAAAGCTGCAACGATGCGCGTGATTATTCATTATCTCTGACGGAAATAATCAATCATGTCTCGCGAAAGCGAGACGTGTATATATACATATATCGTAATATAAAATATTTAATGACATTATAAAAATTGCGAATAATCTTATCTCACGTTGGCTTGTTCAATACAATGATAGTCTATAAATTCCAATCTGATAATCACGTATAAAAAAGACATACTATTATTTTTTCGTTTAATTTTTCATTAATTTTTCTTAGATTCTTTATTTATTTTCTTTAGATTACATCTTGTAGAATTTATTCACAATCAATTATAATATGTATCTTCTACTAGTTTTTAAATTATATATATATATATATAGGGGAAAGTTGGGTAAAACCGGGTAGGCGGGTCAAACCGGGTACCCCGTAACCTAAAATTTTTTTTCAGCAACTAGCCTTATTTTCTCATAGTTCACTAAAGACTACTAACGGTCGGCACATTTTTGTTTACTCTCAGATTTTTTGTAGGAAGACAAAATCCACAAAAGTACCCGGTTTTACCCTACTTTCTCCTATATATAACGATATATATATATATAACGATGATAATTACACATATACGTGTATACTCTTTTCTCTACATTCTAAATTTTCTTTGCATCTATAATTTTTTGAGGTCTATACTTTGCAAATTAACATTAATTCCTTTAAAAGAAAAAAGCATATTAAGCTGCTATTTGTCCAGAGATGTAATAAAAATCGTGCATTCTTCAAATGAGTTTTTGCCACGATGCTTGCATCAAATTGATAATGATAGCAAATTAAAAACATATTAGTATTGACAAGTCTTAGCGTCATTGCTAACCCCCCGTCGATTGCGTGACTTCCCGTAAGAATAGGTTTTCAAATAAAACAGCATATATTAAATTCTACGTCTCTCTAAATTGACTATGATTAAAGATTATTTCACCCGTTGTTATTCTAAATAAATATGAATTTTAAGAGCAATAATTATATATATACATATATATTGGGTTGAACGGAAAGTTCGTGCCGTTTTTTCGATCTTCATCTCTTAGTAAAAAACGGAATGAACTTTCCGTTCAACTCAATATATATACAAAACACCCTTGATAACGCTCGTGAGCAGGTAGAGCACAGGAAACTGAACAGAAAAGTCCTGTACTATTTTTTTCTATAATGCTTAATAAAGGAGTTATTATTGAGTAAAGTCTGGCCAATCAGCGCCGGCTTTTAGCCGGACGCACATTAGTAAGCCGCCCGCTTGATAGTGTGCGCCGCCGTAGCGACGGAGCGCTCACGCACACTACCAGGCGCGCGGCTAAAGGTCGGCGCTGATTGGCCAGACTTTACTCAATAATAACTCCTTTATTAAGCGTTAGATAAAAAAATGTTACAGAACTTTTCTGTTCTGTTTACTGTGCTCTACCTGCTCACGAGCGTTGTCAAGGGTGCTTTGGGACACCCTGTATATATTTTATATATATATATATACTTGTGACAATTGCATTTAGAGAGAAGAAGAATTCGATGGAACGTCTCGCACCACTATTTACCTGCCGAATGTCGTCATGCGAATGATAACAAGGCCGAATACGTAAACAATAGCGTGTTATATGCCACAAAAACCGAGCTCTGTGTTATTATTAATTCATTGTTGATCTTTGTGGCATACAGCACGCTAAAGTTTATGTGATTCGGCCGTTATCATTCGTATCGGGAAATAACTTGATATTATTAATATGATTAATGAGTAATTAACTTTTATAAATACAATAATATGTAACTATGTATATCGCGACGATAGGTCTCGAGGCGCGTATTTCGTGTGATTTATTCATTTAATCAAGTAAGAATCGAAGTAACAGAAATAAAAATTATAAATTATTGTTTCATTGCTATCTTTACGCGAGCAATAATTATTTCTCTATCTATACTTAGAGTCAAATATATTTCGTCCAATGCTTTATCATTTTTTTTTTTTACATTTTGACGATCTAAATGTAATTTGGATTGAGAATGCACAGTAAAACAATCGAATCGAAAGATCGAATAATTAGTATAACAAAAGGCTCCGTGATACATTAATCATCTAATAAATAATTAATCTATATAATCTATCATTTAAAATATCTGTATAATATTTAATATTCCGCGTATATATACATATATGTTATAATATGTAAAATATTTCGACGACGAATTAACAATAACACATGGTTTGGTCTTGATGGTGTATAGCGGTCTTGTTATCATTCGCATGACGACATTTTAACAGCGAAGTGGTGGTACAAAATGTTTCGTATGTTGAATTCTTTTCCTAAACGCGATCGTAATAAAATCGCTATGAAAGAAAATTCGCTATAATTATTACAATTAACAATTAATTAACTTTTGGTAAACAACATGAAACTATTATACATCTCGACAATAAATCTTTATCGAAGCACAATCATTCATTATTGCAAATAAAAAATCAAAGCAACAGAGATATAGATTATAAATTATCGTTTCGTAACAATCCTTTTATTATCGATAATAAGTATTTCTCTACAAATATTCTTACAATTAGAGGGAAAGTCAAATATATTTCGTTCGCGATGCTCTAAATTTTCCTAAAATGCGAGCATAAATTAATTAAACGATTGCTATATCCCGACTTTTTATTACTTTAATCTTTCAATCTTACGATTCATGTATTGTGCGTATACTATACATGTATCAACATTAGAGATAGTATTGTCATGCGCTACTGTCACGAGTAGCGCATGATTTTTATCTGACGGAACAACGATATGCGGTAAGTAATTTATAAATTATTTATCATTTATATTATTTTCAAAATAGATATATTGCTCGTTTTCTTTTTTCATTCCCTCGACAGTGATCCATTCTAAATTATCGTATAATAATAACACATATAAAATATTTTAGGTTTTACTTTAAAATACTTAATTTGTCATTAAAAGTAAAGTAACAAAAATCTCCATATAATTAGATTACAATATTTTTTTATGTATACATCAATAAGTAGTAAAGCAATAATTGTAAATGAGTATTTTAAAACCATCCTATATATTCCTCAAATTGCCGCGTCTGCCAAAAGATGGCAACATTATCGATTTTCTCGTGAACAGAATATCACGACGAGCATATATAAGGCCGAGGTACTAACACGCGACCGTCCTTGTCTTTGGGGAGCAAAGTGTTCAATGATCGTTTAGTGAGAATACTGTTGCTGAAACCCATTATTAAAACTATATGACTGCATCCGTGTTTTAAATCACGAGATGCAATTTTTGGAAAGCCTCTTTACTTTATAAGGGGCTTCTAATCACATATCATACATATTTGCATATAAAAAATGTACATAGATATAATACATATATAATAAATATACCTTGATGTTTACTTAATTTATTATTTTATATATTATTACTTCATTTATTCTTAATATACATTATTATACTATATCTTATAATAATTAACTAATTATTTCAATTTTATTAACCTTATTAATTCGATCAACAAAATTATTATTTAATATTACAATTTCAGTATGTGTGATTTTTATCACAGGTTTTCATAAATATATGTATATATTTACAAATTTTCAGTATTTATTTTATTTACTTTAAAATAAAAAAGGGTTTGGCAAAAGTGCTGCAAAACAGTAATTTTAATTTTACATAGCATGTAATAAACACTATGAGAATTTATGTAGTATTATTACATAATAAACGCAAATTAATCTACATATATTGTGTCGTTTAAAATGCACAGTTAACAATAATTAGAGGTCAAGCATTAGTCATCTTAAAACATGATATCAAGAAATTTGTATTGGCACTGCGCGATAGTACTCTGTATGCATTACATAACAGATTGAGTAACATATTACTGTAACTGTTGGAATGGTATTCACATATTGAATGTGGGCCGTCGGACTAGCCAGTTAGCTCGCGGTTTTTCATATTGCTCGTATCTGTTTATATACAACTACAAAACACACACCGTATATAATCATGCTTTTATATCTTGTGAAAAAAATGGTACTTGACAAGGATTGCTTTACAATCAGAAAAATCTAATTAATGTGATTTTACATTAATAAAAAGAATCAAAGATGTTTATATCTTTTAAGGTTAAAAAAAATAATATAATAAAATAAACTGTACTTTACTTTTTTAAATCTTATTTCCAATAAAATTAAATGTAATGAATATTACATGAAAATTTTTTGAGAGGCATAATTCTCTCTCATCATACTATCTTGATATAACTATAATATCATAATAACAATAAAAAAAAGAACCAAAATAAATATGATAAATAATGCTGAATTTCGTTTACGATTCGGCATCTTACAATTAATCTTTCGATAATTATTTTCAATCGTAAATATATACTAATTTAAAAATTATTGATGCCTCGCTATTTTCATAGAAATAAAATTTATTAATTTGGATTATGTCTAGTTGTGCAAAGAACATCCTTCCTGTAAGTTTTTAGTACAATCCATATGTGTCAAAACAAAACGTATAAAAATTCTTCTTCTCATCGGATTGGAATATTTTTTTCTATAAATATAATCGTAAAATAATTGATTACCGCGTCTTTAATTCGATTACATTAGTGACAAATAATCTCTCCAGACAACAAGTCTCTCTCCAGAAAGGTCGTTTAGTTACTTGTGAGTAGTGTCTGTTCGTGCAGATTATAAGCTGCATATCAATCGCAACCGTGTACCAAATAAAGCAACCGACCAAGTGGCTGGCAAAAGACCTACGTCGAGTACATGTTTGAAATGTCTAAGCAGTATAAACCTTGGACATCAATCAGCCATTGAGTTAACCTTAATAATCACCATCTGCCTGGCGAAACCATGATAAAGGAGATTGCAACGTCTTTCTTCGAGTCTATATATGAGTCACATACGAAATATTTTATATATATATATATAATACATATACGCATACACACATATGCTCTAATTTATACAAAATATCTTGATTCTTTAACTAATATTTCAGATTGACTTTTCTTCAATGATAATTAAACAATTTCTCAATAATTAATAACTGAGAAAAGTACTTCTTCTCTAATTTTTCAGATTTTAATATTTGATATTTTAATAACTAATCCTATAATTAAAATGCTATTATAGTAAAGTTCTGTCGAAATGAAACGAGAAATAAGGATCTGGCATCTATTTAGGTTAATTGAAGAATTCCATTTCTAATTGAATAGTATCAAAAGATAGCCGAAGTGATTATAAGCGACTCGTTTTACGATCTAAGCACGGATAACATAGATCCCATTTCCTGTATAGACAGAATATTGTGCACATTTTACGAGATAGTATAAGCAAAAAAATTCGCATTATAAATAAACATTACGTCGCTCATGTACATAATTGCGCTTATTTGCATAAACGAACACACATATATACATTATATCCAACTACCTTCACAAAATATCAACCTTGAGATAAAACAGCAAAGTTATGCGATAGAAAATAAAGTGTCGTTATTTTGTATATTAGAGTCAGATAATAAAACGGAAAAACTCTTAAAAAACAATGAAAGATGAGCGTTTATCATTTAATACGCAATAATATTTTTATTAAATTTATAAAAAATCATAATGGAATAATTATTTGAGTTATTAATAATTGATAATTGATTAAAAATTAATATCTCGTACATGCAAATTTGGATAAATCGCTTTTTTTCATTTTTTTTTCATTATACAGTAATATATCATCGGTTAGCTCTTCCTACAAAAAACAGAAATAATAAAAATACAAAAAATGGATAAAAAAATAACATAGAATTGCAGAAATGAGTTTTGTTTCCACAGATATGAATATTCTCTCACATGAATCAAGTTCAAATGTTTACGAGAAGAAAGAGAACGAATAAACAATACTAGAGAAATAAAAAGATGAAGCTAAACTAGGCAGGTAAGTAGATATACCGTCTGCCACGACGGGGCATCGAACTTTTACTCTCGACCGAGAGAGTTATGTGCAATACATATATATAGCGAATATGACAGTTTATGGATCGTTCGATTACCTCACCTCACAAGCACAGAAAAATGCTTAAGACAGGGTTAGGTTCATTAGATCTACCAGAATCACCTTTAATTCATAGAGATTCTTTGATCAATTTGGAATCAAAATATTTCCTCAATAAAAATGTCGACAGACTAATAATTTTCGAGTTATATACTCGATTGAATTGGACTTTTCGGGAACTAAACTTTGAAAAAAAAATAATAATATTAAAAATTTTTTTTAGATTCGAGTATACACTTTAGCGGATTTATAAATAGAAAATTAATTACAAAAATATTTAAAGTTAAAAATTAAAAAGTTATGCCAAGTGATCATCTTTCTTGACATTTCTTTCTAAAGAAATATCGATTCTAAATTAGCATATTATTCATCGCGAAAGAGAAAAACACCCTGTATATCTTTGCGTGTCCGAATCATAATTTTGCTTATTATAGTCATAGTCAATGCTCATTAACTGATAAATACATACGATTCACTATGATTGACTCTATAATCAATATTGATTACAATTTCAATGATGGTCACTCTACGGTTTACTTCCTTCGCGTGTGGAAAAAATCGATACCGAGAGCTTTATTTATATCCGACTCATGCATAAAGTGACGGGTTACCATTGCAATCGAGCGAAGATGAAAGAGACTTTTCAACGACTGTGCCGTTATAGCAACAATCTAGACGTAGATAGACTCGATGCAGATATAATTTCAGATACAGATATCATTTTTTATATTTGTACGATCGTGACATTCGCGCCAACCAGCTAGAACGAATTCATTGTTAATCGATCCTTCCATGTACACTTGCTTCGTGTATTCACAGCGCTATTTATACAAGATATATGCAATTTTTATGTATGCTCAGTGCAAACGAATAGATTCATCACGTTCTCGGATATACTTTGGTGTAGTATCATGAAAAATATAATTATGTTGTTCACACGAGTAATCGTGAGCAAGTATTCCTTGAAATCGACATAAAAGATAAGATATTTTTACAAAAATAGACTCACTATTACTACGTTTTGCTAAACGTAATTTTCCTAATTTTCAGATAGCAATGCAGATATAAAATACAAAATCAGTCAAATCTAACTTCAAATATAGGAATAGACAGTATGCGTACATTAATATCTTTTATAATCTCTCTCTCTCTCTTTCTCTTTTTGGTCAAAATGTGATATTAATTGATTGAAAACTACAAATTTGAGATTTTCTATGCTTTTCAATTTTCATACTCTAAGCCATGTTTCAGTTTAATTACAAGTCTGAATAATCAAAGGCGTTTCGCCAAATCGTTATTTTACAAATTTCGTTATTTAACTTGGCTCATGTAAGATTAGACAAGGTTCGAAGACAAACATAAAGATTAACGCGACTGCAGCTGAATGCGAAAATAAGATCGCGCCAGAATTGTTGTGCTATATGTTGCAGAAGTTAAAAGCTGCGTTTATGTAGGATTTAACGGCGAGCCTTTTCATATATTGGCATTTAACACACGGTCGTTGGATTTGCATATAAACTAAATTTAAATATAAACTAAATAATAGCCTGTGATTCAGAACTGCCATAATTTCAATATACAAATACAATTTTTATCACGTTTTAATTTTATATGAATAAATATAAGACCTTTAATAATAGATAATAAATCATAATTTTCAATCAACACTCTGTTACAAATTTATCACTTGCTTTATTTAAAAAAATTAGAAATTAGCACATTTATTTAATATTTAACGAGAACTCTTCAAAGTATTCTTCACAGCCTGAAGCTAGCAAAACAAGTCTAAACCCGATGCTGGTTTAACCGGAGTTCCCGCGTGCAACTGCTATGAGTTTTCCTTAAGCAAAGCAAGAGATACATAAACTCGATTCGTCTCGTACGTCTATTCTTACGTTCATAAGGTTATTTACACTCGATGTCTGACACCATTTTCGTAGCTCGAGGCATAGCATCCGGAGCCAAGCTCGACTATTCGTTCGCCAAAGTCTAGCGGAGCTTAAGTCCCGAAAAGTTAGCCAAAAAGTACTTTGCATTTCGCGAAAAGCGCAAGTAAAAACTTTAAGGATTAATAGAATAACTAATTATTTGAAGTTTAAATTATAAGTTTGAGAGAAGTTATACCGTATTAAAAACGGCATTTTTTATGTCATTTCAAATTTCACTTGGTTGCTTCAGAATTTTTGTTTCAATTGCTTTTTATGTGTTTCATAATTATTCGAATATTAGGAAAATCTTGAGATATTAAGATCTTAAGATAAAAGAAAAAAAAATGAATATAAGCATTCAGCATTTTTATCACAAAGTCTTTCATAACACTTCATATAAAAATATACAAACCACATGTAAAAATATACAAAACAAAAATATCATGTTTTAATAGCGGATGTAAGAACATCCAGAAATTGTGTCAGAATTGTCAACACGAGCAATAAATAGATCCGAGTCGCTTCAAACTTTTATTTTATGCATAATGTCCTATGTTTACTTTTTTTCTTTCTCTTCATTATTTAAAATGATAGTAGGAAGATACCGAATTTTTTGTTCATGTGCAGAAACCATAAATTTCAATGTCAACTAATAATTTTAATTTTTAATAGTAGTAGTAATAGTGAAATGGTATATTTAACAATGTTTCGATAGTCAAGATCACACATACACACATTTGAGATATCAATTTTTTATTACAACAATTTTCGTTAATCAGTGCAAAACCATTTAGAAATGGGCACGTGCAGAATTAATATCCAAAAGATTATCAAAAAAATATGTGTGATAATAAAAATACGAAATATGGTAAAACATAAATTCCAATATATGTAATTCATTATTAACTGTTTATAAATGACTCTTTATTATAAACATATACTTTTTATTTGTTTCTTAACATTTACAATGCTTTATACTTATTAATTTGCTGTATTTGTACTCTAATCGTTAAATATTATATATACACGAGTGAAGCGTATTTTGACAAGTCCCCTCTAGTTTTTTGCGATCGCAAACTTACCCGTTTCTGGAAAGGATGGAAAGGTGCGCGTTGGCATTTGCATAAAAACGCGCGACAGCGCAACACGTTTCACGCACGGCAATAAATACGATAAGCACTAAGTAAATTATGCGAACTGGACGACGCGACGGACTGAAAGGGACTGGGATGGTAGCCGCGACCCACCACCATGCGCCGATTCTCCCTCGTCAGCCAATACTCGCGAACGTAAACATTCGCAACAGCTGATCGCCGCCGCTGTCAAACTACGCGCTTCGGTTCTAGCTCCAATGGCGGTAGCGACTTGCTACTACATACATACATACGACATACATGCATGCATCGCATACTATCGCGAATATGGGCGGCAGACACCGCGTGTCTGATACTATTTCGATTTGACACACTTGTTGCCAAATATATTCTTGTAATAAACATGATGCGTTAAATATTATCCTAGAAATATTCGGAATAAAACCATTTGACGTGATACTCAAAATTATATATATATATATAT